GATGTCAAATTGTCAATCTTGAATTTGATTTTGCATATTGTGAGTATGGTACAATTCTAGGGTTCGAAAATTGTCGGTAATCAAATCACACGCAAATTTTTCTTTTACAGTATTATTTATCACAGAGTTCAAATATCTTTTCGTATGGATATTTTTGTGCCTGTGAACATGTTAAAATTCTAGGGTTTGAAAATCGTCGGTAATCACATCACACGCAAATTTAACTTTTTATTCATCACATAGTTTGAATCTCTTTTCGTAGATATTTTTGTGCCAGACTACGATTTTTTGGGATCCCATTACGAAGCTGCCGAGCTTTGCTACTCAAACGGAAAAGCGGGACTTGCTTTGGTCAACACCTTGGAAATGATGAACCATTTGGTGGGTTTGGTCGATCCAGACAAAAAATTGTACTACTACACAGCACATTCAAGAATGTGAGTTCCGAATTCTGACAATATTGATTTTAAAGAATCTTACTCTACGTGTATTTTGAAACGACGTACAGGCACGATGTGCAGTGGGGATTCGATCGAAAAACCTTGTTCAGAAATCCCGAAGATTTCAGTGAAATCAGAATCACTGATTTCCCATGGTTCTATGGGTCAGAGCCGGATAATGCAAACGGTCGTGAATTTTCCCTGGTGCTGAATCGTGGAAAATTGAGTGACTTTTATAATGATTGCAATCAGGCATACAAAGCCAACTATCCGCAAAACAAATGCCGAACCGTTTGCCAAACTTCGGCTCCAACGTGTTAGTGCCATTTTCCATACTCGATCTTGATCATGTGGTGAAGAAGGAATTTATGAATAACTTAGACATCAACGTCAGTTAAAATGATGCGCAAGAATCATATTGCGATTAATTTATTCCGAAAAGGTGTAAGAGGACAGGCGCTCATCTGCGCAGAAAAAATCGAAAGCTGAACACATTACCACAGAAATATTTTTTTAATTCATGCTGTCCATTGCTCCGAATAATGTTGAATTATCATATTGCTTGATCATATGCAAATTATCTTAAATGCGTTATGGTCCATCGTTTTAGGACGTTAAGATACATGGAATTTTGTGCTGATAATAATTTCAGAAGGATTTTCATGTTCGGCCAATTTCTCCGACGTCTAAAAAATTAGATATTCGATAGAGCTTTGACTATCTACTTACATCATTGAAAATTCAAATACAGTAAGGGCGACTGGTGAATTTCAGTTCTCCAACACAGAGGTATATGGTGCACTTACAACTTTCAGTATACGGTCGATTTCAACTAGGTCGATTTCTGAAAACCTGAACAGTGTCCACGGGACGGAACTATCAATTTTTCAAAAGATTATCGACCTAATAATTGGTACTGGAAGCTTGAACCTGACATAATGCCTACCAATAATTTCCCTCTAAAAAAAATTTTCCAAAATGTGAATGCCTAAAATTATTTCTCTCAGAAATCTTCACAGAAAAAAAATTGTGTTTCGTCATTTATGAAAATCTGATGTTTATATACAGGGTGGGCCAAAACAGAACCTTTTTTTTAACTTGGAATAGCTTGGTAGCAAATTGAGCTGTGACAATTTAAAAAACACCAAATGAAAGCTTGTTCAATTCTCTTTCAAATTTAATTTAGTTTTATGGTCCCAAGTGCCATGAAATGGTCACAAGAACCATTTGAATGAAAACATTCAACAACAAAAGTGGTCGGGCGACTTTTTCCACTGAGCTGCTGTTCTGGAGAGCTGTTTGCATGAATCAAGGAGATGCATGTTGCAATAATTTAACCAAAAAACTTCATGCTGTCTTTTGGAGAGCCTGCACATGCTGCTCCCAAATTTCAAAACGAAGGTATTGTGACATGCATCTCCTTTATTCATGCAAACATCTCTCCAAAACAACAGTTCAGTGGAAAAAGTTGCCTGACAATTTTTTTGTTGAAGGTTTTCGTTCAACTGGTTACACTTGGGACCATAAAACTAAATCACATTTGAAAGAGAATTGAACAAGCTTCCATTTGTTTTGTGTTTTTCATTGCCACAGCTCAATTTGCTACCAGGCTATTCCAAGTCAAAAATCGGTTCACTTATTTTTGCCCACCCAGTATAAATTACTGTGCATGCATACTGCCTTCCTTTTGCATTAGAATTTTCGAAATGACCTTCGAGTAACACCAGATTGTTCAATAGTATTTCTCGTAATAACTGCTCCATAGCCAATGACTATTTTTGTTTTGTTCTCAAAACAAGTAGATTAGAAGAACAAATTTTTTCAAATGTCTCTTGACAAAGTTTTCTTTCGCATTTACGCAATAGTTTGCAGGTCACCACCTCTGACAGATGCGAACGCAAAGCAAGGAATCACTGTCACCATCAATGATGCTGCTCCAAATACTGCATCCAAATACAGTTATGGAAGCATCGCAAGATATCTTTGTCCCTCTGGAACAGTTTTTACTGGTAGCTTAAATAGATCCTTGGACTCGAAATGCTTCGGTTCGATTGGCTGGGAACGTCCGATCGATTTGAGCTGCGTTCCAATGCGTTCGTAAATATGAACCCGATTCGAAATATATCTTCAGAAACCAGTTAAATTTATCGACGAAGTTTCATTTTTTTTTTAGCGACGGAGACAGTTGATGGAATAGAATATCAACTGACGGCCTCAGGCAAAGCATCGACGTCATTAACTCCTTACGAAATGGAGTTCGGCTGTTTCTCGGAAACCAATGGCACAATGGCAGTGTTGAAAGACAGCAATCAAATGAGGAATCTGTCGGCATTCCTGGAAGCAAACGATGTTTATTCCGTGATCGTCGGAAACAATATCAGGTTGAACGAAGTCTCGTCCTTTTGTCAAAAGAAAAATAATTTTATTTCGTGCTTTTTTAAAACTTTCAACAGAGGCTTGTTGAAAAATCTCGACTTTGAAAAAATATATGAAAATAATCAAACTGCTGCGTGGGAAACTGTGGTTCCTGACCCTGCTTGGTGGCATGCTGAAGAAAAGCAAAATCTTGTAGATCCTTCATCATTATGTGCAGAATTTTCTAAAAGAGGAGACATCTGGGGTCTTGCTCCGAAAAGATGCTTATCTTACCAGTCCTCTGGAATTTTGCTCTGCGAAACGTCTGCTTCAGGTGAGAATGAAAAATATATAATAATAAAAATTGCGTATTATCTTGCGTTTCATTTTTTTCCCCTTGGAAAATGATCTCGCGAGAATTTTGCATGAACTCGTTCATTCGAATTTAGCTTCAATTTGCGTTTCGCAACACTCATTCGTTAATGATGACCATGAAATGACGATGCTCTGTTTTTTTTTCCAGCATGTAAACCAGAGTCATTGACAAGGTTTCCGCCGGAAAAAAATGGATGGCGTCACAACTTACCAGTTCCAACTCCCGACGTGGAATTTGACAAATCCGTCAACTACATTTGCCAAGGAATCGAAATTTCCCCTACGCAGAATGTTAAATCGACGTGTATCGGGAGACTAGGCTGGATGAAAACGCTAGATTCTTTTCCGAATTGCACTCCGCCAAAACCATACGTTTTGCAAAGCATAACGTCCGGGAAATCCATTTTTGAATCTGCAGAGATTTGCAATGCTGGTCAGAAGTTGCAATTGCCTGTTATTGGCAACCGATCCGAGATTGATCAGATATTGTACAGAGTTCGGAATGTGTCGCAGATCGATGGAGTCGCAGCAATTCCTTTGGGAAACAATATTATCAGGTGAATCCATTCTTATCGCGATTTTATTGAAAGCAAGGTTGATTTTCCATGAAGATTCCCAAGCGGATTTCTTTAAAAAGAAACTCAGATGCTTGTATAGTATTTTGTAGGAAATTTTTTGAAACTTTTCAATATCCGTTGCAACTGAGAATGAGGACTTTTTCGGTTTTTCCCGCTTAATTTTTCAGGGTTGTCCCTACATTTCTTTGTCGTATTTATTGAATGATTTGCAGATAACATGTCCTTCATGCTTGTTGCAAAGGGGCTAATTGATTGATCTTCAATTTTTTTTTTTTTTTTTTTTGCGAAACTTTTTTCATGAGTGACCTTTCTTTTATTATTTTTTCGCTTTACAGTGCAAAACAGGGACTCAACTCCACTGAATTTTTGGAGGCCTGGAAAACAATGGCTAATATAACAGACTTGACTATTGGGCTAAAAAACGAACCAAGTTATGATGACCTTAACAGATGCAGTGTGTTGCAAAAGGCGAACGGTGCTTGGGGACTCGCTGCAAAAAAATGCGATGAGCCTTTAACGAACGTGGAGGTTCATGTCGTTTGTGGGCTCTCGCACGAAACAGGTTTTACAATTTTGAAACACATTTTAATATATGAATATATATGATGAGTTGAATTACTCTATTTTTTTCTTAGCATGTAACGTCAGACCACCGTTGGAAGCTGAAATTTCAGTGATATCAAGCGGTCAGAGCGGACACAGCCCAACAACGGCATCTTTCATAATGGGAACTGAAGTAAATTACACGGATTGCACCTGTGGTCAACAGAGAATTGATACCAAATCCAGGACTTCTGCCAAAACGATTTGCTACGGCCAATTCGGCTGGAGCCCTTATCGAATTTCCATTTGCTCCCTCGGTAAGAAAACGATTTTTTGCTGTGGTCTTCCAGCTGGCTTCGACTGCATACAGTTTCATTTTTTTTTCGTAGGTGTCAATATGTCTCAATATTTTTTTTATGTGCCAACAAATTTATTGACGAAATTTTCTATCGGTTATTTGCGCCTAGGTGTCGATCGTTGAATTTGTAAAGAATGAATTTGCTAAGGATTGTTTAGGTTTGAGATTGAAGCGACACCTAACCGATAATTGAACAAATGAAGAGTGATGAGGGTACGGCGAAAAATGCTCTACTCTACAGTAAATCTTCGACTGGAATATAGTATAATGAATCTGGCGACATCTGCCGGCATTGGGCAATGACACATACCAATCATTGCTTCATGTTCATACATTTTCGTGTTTTTTTATTCAAGGAGTCGGGAATTGTTCGGGTAAACCGACGGCAAGTTCTTCAAACATGCTCATTGACTGCTTCAACGAGGGAAACAGTTCTGTTTGGAGATATTCTTGCCAGTCTGGATTTGTGCTGAGCTCATCGTCGGGTGCTCCTGCAGGCAATGCAATTTGCGACACTCCAAAGGGAACTTGGCAAACCATTACAGACACCTGCATTTCAACAACGACCACGACTACCTCTACTACTTCATCTGTTCAAACAACGATTTCATCATCAGGAAGTGGAACAACTCATTCATCGGGAAGTGGAACAACCAATTCATCACCAGGAAGTGTAACAACCAATTCACCAGGAAGTCCTGGAACAACTAATTCCTTAGCCCCTGGAACAACGACCACTCCTTCAAGCATCAGCACAACGATCAAAACCTCAGGTACACAGATTTTCAAAATATTGTACAGCGTATAATAATAGAAACAACAACGAAGAAAAAAATATATATACTGTATACTGAAATAATACAAAGAAACGACGACATCGATCGGCCAAAGTTCTTCTACTACCGCATCAATGAATCTGAGTGAAGTTACAACAACTGTCGCACAAAATGGACCTCAGGACAACAGCAGCACTGAAGCTACGACGACAACATTAGATCCCGTCGATTCAAGTAAGTTCAGAACCTTTGCGACGGTAAAACCCGCGTTTTCAACACTTCTACCTTCTTTATACTTTGACATGCGTTTTTATACATTTGCACTGAGCATTCGCATCGAAATGATTCACGCACCATACAACGACCATAAACAACATGAACGTTTGACTCTCATTCTCGGTGGGACATGCTGCAAGTTTCGAACCATATTTTATTTTTTCAGGGAAAAGAACAATCCGACAATCGATTCGGAAACTTTTTCTCCAACTGTGGTCTTATGGATTTCGTGAAATATGGTTTTTCCACATCACTTACTGACTTTTGCAGATATGTTTTTTCGGCAGAAGTTTGATGGATCTTTTTACTGGCGCCGTCAAATTCGCGTATTCCAAACGCTGTGGTTACGAGGACGTAATTGAATTTCTTTGCGCAGAATTCAAACATCTGCAATCATTGAAAAATGGCAATTGTTCAGTGGAAACAGTTGGAGGCCGAAATGGGTCCTTGGAATCCCATTTTTCCAGGTGTTATTGACAAATTACCATGTGCTTTTGGAAAATTTGATGTACATGCAGTATTTATTTTAAAATAACCAGCAAACGTTTCAGGCATCCCTCCAAGATTCCATAATGAATATAATTAAAATAAATTATAATTATTTTGAATGTAATGTCGTTTGAATTTCAATACCTTTTTGAAAGCCTGCGGATTCAAGCAAAGAAAGTTTTATGAATCAACACGAAAACTTGCATGTAGCCTCCGAAATTCCGTTTCACATCATTATAATATTTTCTTGTAGAAAATTTTGAAGTTAGGTCGAATTTCGCCAATGACTCTATATTACTTAACACGGGAATTTCTCGGATGCATTCTATGAAAAATGGAAAATTATTTTCCATATTTTTTTCATAGAAGCAGTTTTATATTTTCGATTTTCAGACAGCAATCATGTTTCTACGGTTTCAAATGTGTAAGGGAAAATATCGATTATTATGCCTTCTTCTTTCCAAGTAAAAGCTCTATAATCAGATTTCAGGGATTGTTTCCGTTTCTATAGGCACGCTTTTGAAGGTGAGTTTTTGCCATTTTCTTTAAAGTGCAGCTGTTCTTCAAATATGTGAAAAGGAAAGAGAAAAAGCTGAACTTACAGTTGGCAAGAGATCCATGCCACCTTCGAGAGACAACCGTTCTTCAAACATGGGCTGAACGGCGCCAGCCACAATGTACATGTTTGGTGCTGACGACATTGAGGCATTATTGCCATCGTTGCTGGTCAACTCCATCAGCTCTTTCAATTCGGGATTTCCATAGGAAAATGATTCAGTTATTGAATCACTGCTCAAAACCGAAGCGTGCGTCTTTTCGAGTGCTGTTCTTAAGTCGAAAATGTCTAATGACTTCAGCTTTCCGAGCTTTCTTTGCGCTTCTGCTTCTTTGAGGGTTTCTGGCAACCTTTTGATTGGCTTCTTCTCGTCGTTGATTGCGTCGATCTTGACAGAAGAGGAAAGTTTTGCTTATGATTGAAGATAATCAAAAGTTGAAACTGTAAGTCAGCGATGAGGAAATAATTGCATTCGGAAGTGAAAAGGCCAAACCAATAACCCGCAAAAGTCATCATCTAATCTAATACGAGGGTTGTCTGATTACTGCGTATAGACGAGTAGTCAGTAGAGTACTTATACAGTAAGCAACCAACTATTTTACTAATCCCCAGACTGCAATAGAATAAAAAACAAAATTACTATTCTCAGACATTTTATTTCGGATTGTCTTCGATATTTGAAAGATTTTCCCGGTCAGTCTTTCGGACATGTAAACCTCAGCACCAACAGTTCGAAAATTATTTCATCTGTTTATTTCAGCAAGTCCCAGATGTATTCGCAGCATATAATTCCGAACAGATACATTTTTCAGATTTCCTGCAAGTTTTGGACGCTGTTAAATCACTAAGAACATGGCTTAAACGTTTTGATGTGATGATCCAATTTTTTTAACGATAGTTTGATGCTTAGCTCTAATGCAAAAAAATTATTTTATGAAAAAAAAAACTGGCGGATTTATTTTCTGTCCTCATGACTGACCACGAAAACTATAGAGAAATTGTGTTTCGACAAGAATAAAATCTGTTGCATCAATCGACTCACGATGATCTCACCTTTGTGCTCGAGTATGTCGGAATGACGAAAACATAGGGATTTGTTTCATTTATGTAGTTGTGCTTCGAAGTTTTGAGCAATGAGACCAATTCTAGCTGAGTGTAAACTGGCCTCAGAAAAAGCCGGATGTCACGGGATATGAGATTCATGTAAGTTGTTGAAGCATTAATTGCGACGTTTCTGCCAACATTCACGGGAAAGGCATGCGGAACAGGAAAGCGAGAAAGCTGTGCAAAATAAACTCCGACGTTGAAGCAGTAGAAAAAAAAAGATCATTCAATGATGTATGTTTTTCCCTCACATTTTTGTGAATTTCAGCCTTCATGGAATCCTGTCTTCGCGTGAAATTGGCGTCGAGCTCAACAGGGTTGGAACAATTGAGAAATTTCGCAAATAGTTTCGCGGCGTCTTCTTCGATTTTTTCCGTTTCTGATTCCGGCTTGATTCCGAGTTCTTTCGGGGTTATGAAATGCAAGCTGACATATTTTCGAACTACCTTTTCGCAATATCTCAGTCGGATAAAGAATTTCAGCACGGCTTCGTACTCATTCAAACTGTCAGCGTAAACAGATAATCCGATCGGTGCTTGATAAGATGCGGCAAGCTCTTTGATGTGAGAAAAATCGTCGATTTCTGCATGCGAAACGAGTGTTACGTCGTTGAAGCAATCTATTTCTTTGTAGGCTTTGAAATAATTCACAAAGATGGTGAAATTCAAGTGCTCCTCGATCCACGACTGTCTCAGTTTTGATGTGCAATTCGGATACCACCTGTTCGAACGCAAAAATACCTTCATTTCCTCTGAATTTCGACGCAGCACAAAAATAAAGATATCGACCGAGAATATTAAACTTGTGATAACTACTGAACATCCAAAAAAAATCATCAATATTTGGACAGCTTTAAATTTGAAAAAGAGCGTCGCTTCAATTTTACTTGGATAGCTGTCATTTTCCTAAAATGATGCCAAAGGCCACCATCGTCAGAATTTCAAGAAAACGAGCCATGAAGAATTGACGATAAACCTGGGGAACTTAACCATCATCCTCAGAAATTACTGGGAGAATTTTCATAATTTTATGGTTCAAACTGAAGTACAAACCACCATGGAAATCATCAGAAGGCCAGCAATGAAAAAATTATCACGTTGGTCATGCTCTAATGCAGCCTTTTCCAAAATAAAAATTCAAACATAAAAAGAATTGCCATTGAAGGAACTTTCCTTTGACGTGTTTTATGATCCATTAAATCCAATTTTTCAAGAAATATCCCCTATATAAGGATCGAGACTTTGTCTAGTTATTTCTGTTATATCCGATTTTTTTTTCCAAAAAGTTGATGAAAATCTTGGAGATATTTTGGATCATCAACAATCGAAGCAAGGCAGGTTTATTGCTGCATACGTAGGAGACTGTTCTTGACTTTTCATGTACATGTTTAGTTCTCGAAATTTGAACTTGAATCCCGAGTGAAAATGGCAAAAAATTAATAACTTACCGAGTAGGTCGCATAAGATTTGGATACCTCTCAAACGGATTCCTTTCCGTCGTCTCGCCACTCAGAAACTCATTCATCCTCACAAAAATAATCGTTTTTGGCACGTTGTTCGTCCAAAACAGCACAATGAAAATACACACTATGACAGCTACACACTGAAACATTCTTTGAAGCTGTCCTGCAAGTAAGACCATTCTTCCCGAGCTTCAATGAATATCTTTACAAAGCTGCTACAATATAAAGGAAGCTCGTGAAATGTCCCAATTTGAAAAAAAGGAAGTTCTTTTCCCTACAGGTTTTCCAGAGATCCTAATAAAGATAAGCTAGGGAATCGGCCTGAGAAAAAGACTCGTCAATATTTTCAATCTGCCTCAGTTGAAGATTTTTTTTTTCCGTGGGAAAAGAGGGTGAATGCATTAAACATAACCTGCATGAATTGAACTTCGCGAGAGTCGGTCATTTTAGTGCAAGTATAAATAACGAACCGCTGAAAACATCAACCATTTCTTTATTGCAGGTCACATACACCGCAATACGTTCTCCTTTCAACTGAAATTGGGAGGACTTTGCAATCAAAAGAACATCAGCGCAATGGTTGTTTTGCGATATAAAACAAAAGGACACGTATCTTAAATATTTCAAGCTTGCAATGTGACGCCGTAAGAAGGATTTTTTTTTTCATCACGCGCTTCCATGTTCCCATGGATGTTTTTCATGTTTTCAAATTTGAATACTAAAACTACGTACACATTAAACGTTGATTAGCAAAACAAAATTAAGGGTACAGTGACGACGATATACGGCAATTAGCTGACATTGAACAATTCTCAAATTTTGTGGCATGAAGTAGGAATTGTTCAGGTAGCATCGTTTTTCGGTGCCAAAGTGCTTCTCAATAAATAAGCTGAGGACAAAAATGAAACCTTCATCACCACAACACGATCGGAAACTTGAAAACACTTTTTTTGACAAATTACGCAATCCACACAAAAATAAATTGAAATCACTAGAAAAGCAGTCAAAATTATCAACCGAAGCAAAACATGAAACTTACGCTTTTGAGGTGATTTCATTTACTTTTTCTCATCTTTTTTTTCTTGTTCGAACACAGCATTTGCTTTCTACGTTCTCGTTTTCTCAAATTTTTCTCTAAAAAACAAGAAGGGTTCTTCGACTAACGTCCAAGCTCGTGCATTTTGCTCGCAATTCTAAAAGCGGTGTGAAAAACACATCAGAAACGTTTACTCCTCGAAAAAATGATTCGAGAAGTGGATTTTCGAGAGCTGAACCCCTTTTTGCTCTGCTGGTAACAATGTCACATGGACATAGCCAACCACAAAAGAATAAATTTCAACATAAAACATGCATACATACGGATTAAAATCATTGGGGGAAGACTACAGATTCTTCTTGTTTCTCTCTTCTTCTTTTTTTTTCTTTAGCGATCAACGCATATAGAATGAGTGGAAGAAAGTTTTCAGTCGCGCTTCAGTCATTTTATTTTATTTATTTTTTGGTAGAGAAAAGTTTATAAAGTTCCTTGTTTTTCGTTTCTTTGACTCGCAAAAGTAAAATTTTGCACACAACGCATTGGGTTTTCTTCTTTGAGGTTTAGTGCTGAGTGAATCGTCCAACGAATAGGGCTCCGACCAGGGAAACGAGGGTTGTCGCCAACAGACCCAGGCCGAGCAAACCCGATGCATTGTTGCACAAGTCACCCTTGCAGAGACACATGTAACCCTTCAGCTTGGCCCTGGGCGAATTCTTCCCGCTGGGCTGGACCAGGTTGCACTCTCCTTCCCACTTCATCCACGGGAACGAGCAATTCCTCGCCATGACGTTTTCTGCACGCACAAGAAAAAGTATTTAATAACTTCGCAAATATTCTAAGGAATCTTGGAATGCACGTTCGGGCATATATAAATCAAATTCCATAATTAACGACCCTTTATATATAGCCCCAACGCTTCACCCTTCTAAAAAATGATTTTGATGTACCGTTAAAGAAACTTCGGGAATTATTTGTATCCCCTTTTTCGACCCTGTTATTCAATTTTTCATTCTCGTCTGGCATCCGTTCTACGCATATTGAAAAATGTAGTAAACATATTCAACAGCCCCTCGTTTCTCTGTTAAGGAGATGTTGATTTTTCTTGTATTTTTGTGCAAGTAATTAACCACCAGGGCCTGACATGACAAGTGAAGCCAAACATAATGGAGTCAATTATATATATTTTTTAAAGTATACCTTGATCACCTCTCGACTTGTGTAAAGGTTCAATTCTTCGAAGAGAGTGAAAAAAAACAAATCTGATCAAAACATGGACACTTTGAGCACATGAACAGTTTCTCAAACAAATTTTTTCGTTTATGGATTTTGAAGGAGATGAAAACATTCAAGTCATACGTTTATCATACATATGCATCAAATATCGTCTGTCACGGCGACGGATATTTTTGCTTACACCCTAATAAAAAATCTCCCATTCCCACCTATTTAGCATTTTTCGTAAAAATTGATGAAAGGTGATTGAAACTTTACATAAAAATAGGAACCTACGAGAATTTCAAAAATTATAATCATCAACGTGAAGGTCAAGACCATAAACGCAGCAATTCGCTATCATTTTTAACCACGGAAGAAAAACATCTTTGCATCCTCTGGATCTAGAGTACGTTTTAAATCTTTTGCTTTGTCACATTTTCAATAGCTCTGACGTCATAGGAAAACTAGTCATCATTCATTCAAACTGATGTCAGATGCAAAAATTTACCTCATTTTTCGCCAATTTTAAAGCGACATCTCTACGAATCTGAAGAGGTTTCGGGGAGACCCCGACATCGAAAGACATTCGAAACAGTGCTTAATTAAATTGAAATATAGGTTTCATTTACTGACTTTGGCTTTTGGGGACTGTCATCGACACATTACATACTTCCAGTGGTCATTCCATCCGTAATTCGAAATACTGTATACTGTTATATTTTTCTCAGGTATTTACCAGGGGCACGGGTTTCGTTGGTATAAATCGTGACGCAAGTATCTATCCTGTCCGCACAAACACGTTCTTTGCCGAACCCTTCTTGGCAGGCCTTCCCGAAGCATTCG